ATCTATCTATCTATCTATCTATCTATCTATCTATCTATCTATCTATCTATCTATCTATCTATCTATCATCTATCTATCTATATTTAAAGTCACAACCCCTGGTATGCCCAAATATGGGAGGAAGTTCACTGCTTCCATATATGTGTTGTATTTCCACACACACACACAGACACACAGACACACATATATATATATATAAAGAGAGAGAGAGAGATTTTATATATAAAATCTATCTATCTATCTATCAATCAATCAATCAATCACTTATCCATCTCTCTCTCCTATGTATCTCATATCTATCTCTCTATATCTATCATCCATCCATCCATCCCTCCCTCCCTCCATCTGACTATCACTGTTGTATGTTACAATTCTTGATGAATATATTTTTAATGTACACTGAGAGCTTATGCACCGAAGACCAATTCCTTGGGTGTCCAATCACACTTGGCCAATAAAGAATTCAATTCAATTCAATTCTAAAAGTAGTTAAAATGATGGCATACATATTGGTCATGGGCTAAATTTCTACATTTGGTTGATTTGAAGTACTTCGACGTGTTTCACCAGCTCTTTTCCTACCAAGCAGACTTCTTCCCCTAAGTGTTCTACCCTTTTCGTGTCATAGTCCCTGACACCCGGCTTTCAGTCCAATCCAGACTATTTAAGACAGGGATGTTCAATCTTGGCAACTTTTAAGACTTGTGGCCTTCGGCTCCCAGAATTCTTCAGCCAGCATGATTTTAAGGGCACATGGTACTAAGCACTGGACCGCAATGAAAGCCCTGCTAAAACATTTTAGACTGGAAGAAAAGCGATCTCTTCTTCTTGGTGGATTTGCCTTCTACTTTTCTAGTTGTATGTTAGAAAATGGGTTTTTATTATTTACTGCTTGCACTAAGCATCTCCTGCCACCCATCCTGGTTACTCGGGCCAAGTTCTACATCCGCATTCACAAACTGCCAGGGGGGAAAGGAAAGTCGATTGTGATTCAAAAGCAAGGGATTCTGGGAAAATAGGGAAGCTCCCATCAAGGAAAGGCCCAGAAGGAAAGGATGGTAGGAAAAAAAAAGGAACTTCTGCCTTCTTACTAAAGGCTGCCTGTAGTCCTGCAAGAATAAGAGAGGAGGAAAAACTACAATCCAGAAGTTGCACAAGGACTCTTGAGAATTCAGGATCAGAATAATTCATTTGGCCAAGGGTGATGAGACACACATGGAATTTATCTACAGTGCAGAAGATAGAGAAGATGATGAAGAAGAATTTCATCCCATCCCACCCCTTTTCCAGCTTCTGCATAATGTTCCTGCGTAATGCACCCTGCATGGACCCCCCCCATCCTT